CGAGGATCACGATCTCTGCGGAGGGGATCTGCTATAGCGATCAATCTGTAGCCATAGGACGTGGTCGAAGAGTCGGTCTGTTTCGCTATTACCGCTATGGGACCTATAGAAGCACCCGTAGACGCACGGATGGTCGCCGCTGTCTACGCGTAGCCAAAGGATGGACAGGTCCGAACCTTCAAGACTGCCGAGGCGTCGAGAACAGATGTCCTCTCTGACGTAAACGCAAACTCCAGCCCGAGGCACAAAGGAGTGTTCCAGTCAGTACCCCGGGTAGGAGAGATACGAGACATCAGCCGGAGAGGACACCTGCGTCTCGGTCGGAAAGAGCAGAGCCGGCCTCGCCGTCTCGAGACGGACGGCGTTTAGGTTAGAGTGAAGTCCCCTGATATTGCAGAAATTCACGGATAGCGTGGCAGGGGTCGTTCTAGTAAAAAAAAAGCCCCAAAGTGGAGGTCTCATTTTCTCCAAAAATATTATTCATGCGATATTTTTGTAAAATATAATAACATACCATCGCCTTGGTTAAATGAAAGGAAATTGATTTTAAAGATATTAGATATAATCCAGAATAAAGCATTGCGTATGATAACTGGGGCTATGTGCTCTACATCAACCCAGGCAATGGAAGTAGAAAGTTGTATTCCTCCACATTTATTAAGAAGGCTATAAATTGCTGAACTCTTTTGAGTTAAATTAATCAGTTCAAAAAATAATTTAGTTTAAAAAAAAAACTTCCTTTCGAAGTTCCTGAGTTTGATGGTAGCTCATACATTAATGTAAATATGCTTTTATCTGGTCGATTACCAGACATCCTGAGGATTGTTATATACTCACAGACTCAAACCAAAAATGTGTATCAAAGTAAACCATGGCCTTTATATAAAATAGATTATGATGCATTAGTGAACATTAATGTTTCTGTATGTCAAGAAAATGTGAATTCTTAAGTGGAAATGTTAAGATATCTAGCTGATAATGATTATTATAAAATTTATACAGATGGATCAAAATCTGAAGAGTACACAACTTCAGCATTTTATGATTCGCAAAAGAAAATATCTAAAACTTTTAAAATTCACAATTTATGCTCTATTTTTACAGCTGAATGTTATGCAATCTACTTAGCTATATTGTACGTAAAAACATTGTAAATTCACAGTTTCCAATTGTAACTGATTCAAAAAGTAAGTAAGTGTAACAAAATGGATTACAAGAAAAAGTACATTATATACAATATAAGAAACTGACTAAATAAGCTTTAATATAGTAAAGAATGTTACCTTTATGTGGGTCCCGTCACACTCTGGGATAACTGGGAACGATGAAGCAGATTTTGCTACTAGAACTAGACTAGACTTTGAATGATGAAGCAGACTTTCCTCAATGTTGGAATTAGCATTTACAGGTATATATAGCCTTGTTTAGCAAGAATTTGAAATCCTTGTGGAAGTCATACTGGGAAGAAATAAGTAAGTCCAAAGGAATTTGGTATTATGAAATACAAAAAAGCCCGCTAGCCACTCCTTGGTACAACAAAAAAGGGATTAATAATAGAATACTCATTACGACTCTAAACCGAATGAGATTTGGACATAGCAGAGTAGCCGCCCACCTGCATCTTCTGGGAATGAAAGAAAATATGCAAATTGTGAATATTGTGGTGATATGAATGGAGACCTAAAACATCTGGTTTTTCAATGTTGTCAACTTGGTTTGAATAGATAACTCCTCATTAGTTCCATTCAAGATATTAACAATGATAAAGTTCCTGATACTCTTCAAAGTCTATTATCTTATATATACAATGTACTCTGTGGTCTATTAGCTGATGAAGAATTTTTCCGACCATTATATTCCTTTATTTCTGGTGTTCAAGATATATAAAAATGAAAACGCGATATTAATCAATAGTGCAAACGTGAATAAGCACTTTGTGATTTGTAAATCAGTGTAAAAGTGAATTTTTGATGACTGTTTCGTACGTTACATATCTGATTTTTAAAGTTTTTAATTAAATTATATATTGTAACTTCAGGCTCAGAAGGGCTAGAACCCAGAGCCGTAAAGCCAGTTAATAAAAAATATATACGGAAAGTTGTTTATAGGTTATGGGTACCGAAAAATCTTGAAAGCGTTTATTGGCGTTTATTTATGTCCAGATAGAGAAACTAACGTTTTTTAAAACGTACCTAGTAGACAGTAGTGGATATATATTTTAAAAAGTTCTTTAATTTAATGTGCTTGTAAATCGATTTAATAATAAACTATGCAATAATGGGCACATCTACAAATCTTATTTTAGCAATAATTATTGCAGTAAAAATTTTACCTCCTTTTGGTGACTGTTCGGATAATAATTCTTTAAAATGGCCAACTGTCGCTATTTCATTATTGGTTCGAAACAAAGCTCATACTTTGCCGTATTTCTTTTCCTGTCTAATGAACTTGGACTATCCTAAAGATAGAATATATATTTGGTAGGTAATGTGCAGATAAA